GAGAACTCTCATACGAAATTTTACGCCGTAATAAACGTAAATGTTCGCCTGTTTGGCCCATTACGTTTTTCTTTCCACCTATTATCTCTCGTTGCGCGGTCGCCGTTATTACCGAAATAGAACGGGAGGAAGCTAAGCTTAGGAAGTGGAAGTCCGTCCCTCCCTCCCCGCTTTACACGTTTCACCTAAGAAACGTAAGGGAGCCTTGAGAGAACCCTTGTTGAAGAAAATTCATTTCCTCGACAACGATCGTACGAGCGTGTTACAGCCAAGTCTGCGGAATGCCGGGGCTGGGATGCCGACGGGGAGGAAGGTTACAAGGAAAACAAGCTACTGCAACTACTGGCCGCAACATGCAGTATTGTGGGGATACGAATTTAACCATCGTCGGTCTGCGAATTTCGCTGAAACGCGAAAGCCAAAGAGATCGCCACATTTAGGAGATAAGACGAACACATCGAGTTACAAATGTTGCCGCTGAATCTTAATTTAGTAGATTCGAAGTGAGGAAAAGGGAAAAGAAAGGAAGCTAATTCTGGTCAAAACGAAGCTCGATAAATAGATACAAATTTGATTATAAAAATGTAGTGCAGTGCACGTCTTCAGAATTTTCTGCTAGTTTCCAGATATCAATAAAAGATTAATATCTTTATAGAAAATACAGATTAAATATCAAAATTAATGATAAATTTAAATTTTGATATTTTGATTAATAATATATAATCCATTATTAAATTTACAGTATTAGTCGGTATTGCATCAGTGTCATAATCGCGTGTTGGATAATCAACAAGCGCTGTGTAATGTTTACGAGATTGAAAACACGAGAAACATATATTCATACGCATAATCCTCTCGCTTGGTGCTTTCGTAAAGTTTTAATTGCTAATTAAATCAATGTATGTCAGTGAGTTATATTGTGTCGGGAATGCGATACTACGTAAACCTAATTCAACAGCAATTAGTTGCGCGTCACGTATCGCGCGCCACTTTGCTTTTCGAAACAATACGTGCAACCTATGTCAATGATTTGTGGAACATTTGCAGCATACTTTTTACTCAACGCTTATCTGTTTTCACAAGCTAGATATAAGAATGTGAGAGATAGTAAGATGGTATAATATTATTATATATTGTAAAATAAGCATGTAAAAAAAACAAATACATGTATGCATGCATTTGTACACTGAAAATCGTATATTTTTATTCGCGGTTTATGTAAGTTTACATATTCTTTATGCAATGTACTTGCAGTCCATTGAGCAAAAACACTGCGACATTCTTTGGTATCATGAAAAGCTAACGAAGAAATAATATTCAATCTTAAAATCTCGGCACTATTGCGCCGTCGCGTTGTATCGCTTTACTTTAAAATTTATGTGCAAATCAACAGCGAATAGATTATCATCGTCGATAGTATTTCCCAATATTTTCGTCCGCGTTCACACAGATTTATGCGGACAGCGGTCTACGCCGACGAATTAATTGGATTAAATCGCCCGCAGTTTAATATTCATTTCATGCCTTATAGAGACGCCGCGAAGCTCGCAATCCGTATAAATTGCAGTGCCTTCAAAAAGCAATTTCATTTTGTACGTGAAGTTACCGCGGAATATGAAAGCAAGCTATCTTCTCTTGACAACCCTCTCAATTAGGAACCTAACTCTCGTAGAAATTATTATACCAGAAAATGTTCGGAACGATGCGATGTAATACCGGGATTACTACGGGTGAGCATATGACGTAGAAAGCGAATTTTTGGCGAAAAATCAAATTATTCGACTCGCGATGCGATACGTCCAAAAAATCCTGTTTGTCTCGTCTCATTATTTATTGCTGTTAGATCTGCTTGTATCACTTTACGTTATAATTCGCAATTTTTTTATAAGATAAAACAAGATTGTGTAAGGATATATTAGAACAAATCGCGCAATTATATTTCATTTATTGTTTAGTGTTTAATTATATTAACTGTGTATTCATATGCGACCGATTGTAGCGAGAAGCGGAGAGTAATTTTTAAAGCGGTGCATACATAACGGCGAAACCTTTTATATATATATAATATATATATATATAAGATTTCGTTGTTATGCATATTAAACTCGCAGAAAAAATAAAGAAGAAAATATAAAATTGTGCCATGACTGCAATAACCTTCTGTAATTACGCGCTTAAATCATTGTCAGCGGAGTTATTGCAGCGGAATACTTTCCACGCGGCCGAATGCGCTAGCGAATGCTCGAATCCTAGCAGAGCGTCAGGTTATCCAACTTTCCGCAATCCTGCACATCCTGACAAATTTCTTTTCCTTCTTTCCCAATTTTGGTACGCGCATTATTTTCGATGCGTCGTGAAAATCGATGACGCGACTACTCTCGCGACTACTCTCGCGACGTTTGAAACTTCAAAAAACGTTCAACTCGCCACAAACATGAAATCAGCAGACTTTAGGGGCAATAACACACTAAACTAAAGCGAAAGAAAAATTATGTTAAACTAACTACCGCATTACACACACACATGACAAAATAGATTTTAAATTTTTATTAAGCTAAAGGCGCAAGCTCTTTCTTATTCTCTTCCTTTCATTTTTATTTTAGAAATGTTCACATTTCAGTTCGCCATTAACTCACTTCTAGAATTAATTAAAAATTCTTATTGAAGCATACATCCGCGAATCGTATAAGCTTCCACGAAATATTAGATCTCTTTAAGACTCTTTTTCCTTGACTCACCTTATCTTCATTAATTAAAAATTGTTTCAGCTGTTTGTTTGCCAAATCTTCCTTGTACGACTTAATATGCTTTTAACGATTCTTTAAAAATGCGAGCAACATAGCTATATCAGCTTTGAATGACCATTTCTTCTTTTACGTTTCTAACCTAATAGAATTCAAGTCGGCTCTCGTTATCATGAGTGAAATTCTACGGAAGAAACCGGCAATCTCGGCGAAATAATTGGCTCCATTACAAAGCTTAATGCGAGCCGAAATTATGATGGTAGAACTTTTGGCGGCATATGCTGGCAGTCTCAATTTTCCAACGTGCTTTTCCGTGATCTCTCGAAAATTTCCTTCTACCTTCGTCCGCGATGCTCTCTTTCACGTACTTTCCAACCTTCCGCGCGTTCTCGTTTCACCCGACGCGAAATCGACAGCGGCGACGGTCGGAGGATTCCCGGCGCGTGACGTGCCCCGAAATTCTGGGTTTTAATTGCGCCCCGGATATTTTGGCGGGAGAGGGCGGAAGACATTAATGGACCGAATCCGAGGTGGAGCGTGGAGCTGCAGCGCGACGTGCTGGTGCAACGCGTGCACTCGGACAACAGGGCGGATGTTTAATTGAGCATTCGGTCGCGCTCGCCCGAACGCGAATGTCTCTCATAATCCGGCGTGCCAATTAACGCTATTAGAGACATCGAGCGCGCCAGCACGCACCCGACCGACAGCGGTCCACGATAAATCCGATAATTGATTGTGGATCGACGCATGTGCGACGACCCATTGCAAAAAATTCAAGGCTTACGATTACCTCGCGAAAACGAATCGTCGTTAGCGAGTATGAGAATTGTTAAGAATAACATTTGAGGGAGAGTTTAATATTAAGAGATTATAATCTTCCGTGACGTCACAAACGACGAAGCAGATGAAAGATACAAATCATTCCCCATTTCTCATGTTTTTTGTGCAATAAAGTGGACAAAATGTATAAAAATGGATTTTCTATTAAAAATAATTGCTTCAGGTACTATAAATCTATATTCAATTTGCTGTTATTCAGATAATAAACTCAGATATTAAACACTTGTGTATAAATTACGCGATAGTATTTCGAAAGCATAACAGTTACCACATTGGATTTAATTATTAGTCCACCGAGTGATTAATTGCCCGGAGAATTATGGCTCTTGGCTATTGTCCCGTTGTAAACACACGCGGTATTCCATGTCAAACGCGAGTAAAATTTAGTAATTTTTCGCTTCAGCGATCACAAGCGCAACCATTTCAATCGATTCTACTCATTGCGTCCTAATTTCATTTGTCACGTAAGCGGATATGCAGAACGCTCGTATCAATTATCCCGATTTTTCCACCTCCATAATCTTTTTTAAAATTACGCAATCGTTCATTGTGTGCAATTCGCGTGTGACATTTGACGCGAATCGATATTTGCATCCTCAATGTGACTCCTCGTTTAATTACGATCGAGAAAAGTCACGTACGTATTCGATCTAATTGAAAATTAATCCCCTTCGTGCTGAACAATGCGAAACTTATTCCGGATTCATGTGTCGCCAGAAGATCGCGTTTCAGCAAAGTAAATGGGAATTCGAATCGCATCGATTGAGTAAAAAGAAAGAAAAGTAAAAGTAGAAAGCCTCTCGAAATTGCCCATAATATATAATCGGACTTGTGTCGAAGTAAAACTCAACGCTGCTCCATCATTCACTATTCATCATCGATGTGTACAGACTCGCTGAATTACCTATCTGAATTTGATTTATTTTGTCGGAATTCTATTTTGCTTAATAAGAAAAGTCTCTCTCATCCATCTCACGGTTAGCAACTCGCAGCCCATCGCTCAAAGGTTAAATTCATTATTTGCGAAGGCTGTTTCAACCATTTATAAATTTTATCAACGAGTAATCTGTTTTTTGCTTACGAGTGCCTTATACGTGCAGCCTTATCGCGGTTCGTCGTGCTGAAAATCATTGACGCTCGAAAAATTCATCTCGCATCGCACTAAACTCGCGTCTTGCGAAACGAGAAAGCCCCTTTTGATTCTTTTCCTTCCCTTATCCTATTTTCTCGATAAGGGTAGAACGAACGAATGAACGAACGAACGAACGAACGGATAGACGGACGGACGAACGAACGTAGAGGGGCGCGGAAAACTTCGAGTAATAGTCAAAAGTTTATAGAGTCTAACCGGAGGAAAGTAACTGGTTTATGGGAAAACTTTCGCCACGTCCTCACACGGAAAATTTACGTTTGCAGCGCTTCCGGAGAGGGGACCGGAAATCACAGGCCTGTCCTCGCACTACGCCGTCGGCGAGAACGTGACTGCCAACTGCAGTGCCTGGCCGTCCGTGCCTAAGGCCAATCTACGTTGGACCATCAACGGCGAACCGGTAAAGTACCTTTCCGCATCCCCGGCGCTAGTCAACTTCCCCGAGGCCTCGTTCGCTGTATACCGGTGTATTACACCGCCGGCGCGGCGTCTACGTGCTCACCCGGTTGCGGGAAATGGTTTTGTGTGTTCTTTAGATCGAAACTTTATACAGACGAAGCCGTATTAGTTTATCTTCGCTTGGCGAAAGAGCCGAAAGTGGACGGTGCCGTTGCTCCAGTTACATTTGCTTTGTTACATTTGCTTAAAGAAGACGAAATTAATACATGCATGAAGGCTTTACATGAGAAAATCCGATGTACAACAGATGCAGCAATGTGTACAAACGTAGCTGAGTAAGATTTACTTCTTTTGCTGGAACGCAAACAAAAAGTTGACATTTTAATTTAAATGTTGAAAAGAATTATAATTTTATAATTCGTAATTCAAATAACAAAAAAAAAACAGAAATCCAAGACATCTATTTCATGAAATAAAAAGGAAATTTGTAAAAAGATGTTTTATGAAAATTCTATTTTACTAAATTCTGTATGTCAAAAAATTTTATTTTTTAACACCGATTATATCTGGATGGTCAAAGTTCAAATTAAAAAAAAATTCATTTAATTATGCATGTACATACTTGAGGTACATTTCGCCGGAAGACTTAAGCTTTACATGTTAAATAGCTCTCTAATATTATAGTTAAACTTCGCGTCACGTTTTTCACCGGGAAAAAGCGGCTTCAGTTTCGTCGACGGATCTGTCCTTAACGGGAAAGTCGGAACACCCTACACGTACATACGATGGAATTGATTGGATAGGTACACGCGTATACACTCCGATCTCGCCGGTAAGCTGCTTTCGCGGCGGAATCTGATTTCGCGTAAAGCGATAGTGTCCGCGCACGTAGACACTGGCACGGCAACGAAAGCGTTGTCGAGAGAAAATCCTGTTTCCTGTCACCGGTGTCGTGACGACGAAGTCGAGGCCTCGAGGCGTACGCCTCGCGCATGATTAGCGTATTCGTCGTTTCGTGCGACGAACATAAGACTCTATCTTCAAGGATTTTGTCTCATTTTATTCTTGATGAGACGAAGACGATCCAGGAAAATAGATAGAGTCTACTATCGTGTGTTAGCGAAACTTACGTCGCGAAATTTACGTTACTGCAAGCTGGAGATTGAAAACGATTTTTTTTAATTTTGGTAAATTTAAATCCGCTTTTAATTTTTACGAATAATACGAATTAAAATTTTTGTTCTTTTCTGTTAATAAAATTGTTCTTGGTTTTAATATACTGTATAAATATTTTTTCATGTACATACAATATGATATAATTACATAAACGCATTTTTCCAAATTAATATTAAAAAATAATTTTTTGAAAATTATACCGAATTTGAACTTCGCTGTTGACAATTTTTTCACGAAGTATAGACACGAGATAAATTAAAATTCGTTAAAAATGTAAAGCATACATACGTTTAATGATTACGACGGAGTTCTAACAAATTTTTCATAATGCCATGATAACTTTATGTTCGCGCATTATGATTAAATTTAATTCTTAATTTAAATTCTCCACGAGAGAGCTACGAGATAATATGCTAAACGAATATTGCGAGTAGCCTGTATAGTACTCATTCATTAAAGTATGCACGAGATAACGAGATTAGTGAGCCAAAACGTGCAGTATCCTTTGATCAATTTAGAGTCAATTTTACCTTAGCGAAAATTCGATTGGTCTCGCCACATCCCTTCGCATTTTTTTAATCCTTAAGATCAAATGTTTCGATACGAACGCGTTGCAAATAAAGAAAATCCTTTGACGCTAAAATCAACGTGAAATGTTAAATAAACAAGAAAATTTTATTACATTATTTGCAGCTTGGTCTAATTATTTTCCTTATATCTAAATTTTCAGTACAATTTTAAAGCTAAACTTTTCTACTTCCTCTACATATCGCGAGGGATTAGTCAATGCACGCAAATTTCCTGCTTCACTATATTCGCAACTAAAAAATATTAATACCGAGAAGAAAATGTTGTGAGAACAACGCGAAGTGTAGTAATATTCGCGGAACAATCGGCGGAAGGGAAAAAACGGACGGTTTGCTGAACGGGCTCGGCGAAATGTAAAAGATTGTCGTGCAATGTGCGAAATGTGTTCCTTAGAAAAGCGTAATTTCGCGCCAAATTGATCGCCGTTCCCGGATCCAAAGCAAATCTCCGTTGAACCGTCAACAAAGCAGCGGGCAAAGTACATTTCTCTCCTTTGCCCGGAGCACTCTCGGTACTTTGATTGTCGCGGGCGTTTCTGTAAATTAGAACGGACTGCGCGCCTCGAGAAAAACGGCAAATTGCTCGCAGCATCGCTCGCGTTTTGTATGCAGGTCGATTAACCCTCGCGGGACTTATAAGTTCTGGAATTGTAACATAGCGAATTAAAACTGATTAAATTATCCTGCAATCTAAAACTCGTATCTAAAACTTTATATTATTCTTTATTCAGTAGGTACTAGACTTTACACCTTTCCCTCCTTTTTAGCTTTTAAGAGATATCCGCATTCTAATATAAAATTTTACTTTGTTTGAGTAATTTTATAAATAAAAAATGATTCAATTAAAAGCAAATAATTCGATTAAAAATTGAAATGCTTACATATTTATCAATTTGTTTTAGCGTCAAAGTAATGCAATCTCTTTATAATGTTGTATATCTTTTATAAAGCTGCTAAAATTCATTCCAATTTATAACACCATGCATATGTTAAAGTTTAATACTTAAACAAATGTTATTAACAAGTTAACAGTAATTAATAATATTTTATCGATAAATAATGCCAAACTGTTTATGCGTTTTACGAAAAATACTTGCTATTTTATTATACACTGCTAAATTACATTTTGTTCAACGTAATTACTAGCGACAGACGTACTACGCGATGCATGTGTTTGCGAATTTATTACATTTTATTTTTCCGGCAATAAAAGACAATCTCGCGTAAACTCTTTATTGCGTTTTTTATCTTTTCCTTCCGTAGAATCAATGTAAATTTTCTTGAGGGAAATATACAAAGTTGGCGATTCTGATAAGTTTTCCCTTGTCTATACTCCATTCCTACGTTTGATTTTATTTCGCAGTTGGACACGGTATTACTTCGCGAATAATTCGAATTTACGATTTCGAGGAGATGAGAAGAGCATCGATGCGGCTTTATCGTCCGCTTCACAAAAAATATATATACATGGAATTGAAATTTTTTTTATATTTTACGTATATCACATTGATCGTACGTCACAAGCGTTATACATGTCCTGTCGGTACACGTATAGCTGTTACGGCAATTTTACTTCGCCCTCGTGCACCGCTCGATATAAGTTCGCAAATAATTTGAATTTACGATTCGTACAGGATAGGAAAGGCATCGATACGAACGAACTTTATCGTTCGTTCCGGGCAGGGAAAAAGTGGAAACAAGATTTTTTCGCGTTCTCCGGCAGAGCGATGGTTCGATCGTAAGTTATCGTGCATTGTACGGTAAAGCCGGCCGGCCGACCGACACAATGGCTGGTTGCGTGTCTTTTTATTAACATACGAGCCGAAACTGCAATCGCGGTCGATATAGTGACATATGGCCACGCTGAAAAGCACCTATGCGCCACTTTTTACACGTAATGGCTCGAATCCGACGTCGGTTGCACGTCTTTTTTTTCTCCGATGCGGGGTGATATACGGGCGACTGGCATCGGGCGAGATGGGAATTTAATGCGAGCCCATATTTGAATGATACGACGCTTTTTCAGCGACTAGCGCAATGGTAATAGTCTTTCTTTATTATTATACGCTCCTACACGAACAAGTTTCAAGCCATTTTTCAAGCGAATCACGTCAAACGCGCAGAAGTTTCCGACGATCCGAAATAATTTTTCCAGTTCGATTCAGATGCAGGCCGACTCGTAAAATGATATATATAATTTAACCTATCATGTTCTTATCTAAGTATATGTAAAATTATTAAGTTATTGCTATGATTAATACAATTCACTCTTCTCTTCTAGCAGTTATTATCTTACACACAGTGCAATCATTCTCTTGCGATAACTGCTAATATAAATTTCTTGAATGTATAAGAGATAAATTTAAAGAGTAATCAATTATTAAAATTAAAGCATAATAAATAACTGTAAAATAGGTAAAATTTTATGCGATATACATATGTATTTTTCTCTTTTTCCGCATCACGCGAGGGAAGGACCCTTTTGAGGAACAATTTGTATTCTCTGCGTAACGTGCTTGGACCCGTAGTAAAATGGGTGTCTTTATGCGAAAGGAGGAACCGCATTTGAGAACGTGATTCCGAAAACGCCATAGTAAAGTCCCTTCACGGTTTTCATCGCAAATTCTCGGATTCTTGCGAATTTCACGAATGTGTACGGGGCACCGTACACATCAAAACGCATATTCAAGAAAATATAGCGAATCATTCAGCAGAAACGTATAGCAAAGATTGAAATTGAACGGATTTAAGAGTCTGAAACACTCTGCCGAGATTAGATTGTCCTAAACCACGCCGTTTTTCGGACAATTTCTTGAACTATTGGAAAAAACCTTTATTATTATATATTCCCCCTCCCCTTGGAGGATGTGATCGTCATACTGCCCGCACCCAATATTCTCTCTCGTCCTTGCCGGAAGCCTCACGCACTTTGGGAAGAAACTCTGAAAGAGACTTGTCGTAAAAGGGAGGCCGTCACTCATGCTCAAAAGTTATCAGATCCTCTTAGAACGTCATTAAAATTCACGTGAAATCCGCGGTACTTCGAATTTAAATTATCTTATTCTGAGATGTATGTCTAAAAATATACGATAGGACGTCAGGAACAGATCTTATTTCAACTCTGCAATAAAAAGCCTTTTCTGAGTGGATTTGCAGATACATGCATGTCTCGAAATGAAACAATCTAAATTCTCGAAATCTTTCTTTTTCTGTCGTTGAAGAAGAGAAAGAACGAAAA